TTGGATAAAAACCCTAATGTGGGAAAGAGACCATAAGTTACTGCCAACATCAAGAGAACAAGATTGCCAAGGTTTTTCATGTCACGTCATTTTGACATTTGCTATTGATAATTTGATGATTTGACAGTAAAATTAAATTTTCATAATTTCATGCGGATGAAGCCACACGGGAACAGCTAGTAGTTAATATAACTGACAGTTTTTTTTTTATCAAAGTTTTTGTTGACAATAATTTTTTGAATTTTTCAAGTAGACATGATATTTAAAAAATCAACTTTTATTTTTTTAATTTATTTTACCTGACTTTCTATGATAAAAATGTAACTATTTTAATGAACATAGCACAACTTTTTTTTTTATTTTTAACATGACATTGCAGGATTTTTTTCATGTTTCATATATTTTATACTCTATGTACACGTAAAAATGTAATATAGATTTAAATAAGATAACATTATAGTCTGTTTTTATGCACAATACTTGTGTGTGACGTCATCCTCAGCGAAGCGTGATGGTTGTCAAGTTCATGCGTATACGTAAGTTATAATTGATTATTAAATAACTTTTTTTACATTAAAGTTATCTTTACGTCATTGTTATAAGGTTCAACTTCGACTACTTGTCATTTTATAGTATTTCTTAATTTTTCGTTTGATTATTTACAAACTGTTTGGATATCCAATATGGTATTTTAAAGGTCATTGTGCTTGTAACAAAATTAAACAAAAGAGATGCGTAAAAACAGATATTTCAATCTTCACTAAGTTCTCTTTGGCTACAAAAGTAGAAGAAGACCGAAGAAAGTATGGATGGATTATGTGAATAAGGATATGCTTAAGAAAGGATTGGATTCAGATACGACGGCTGATAGAGATGTATGGATGAGGAGCACATACTGTGCCGACCCTCCGTAAATGATAAGGGCAAGTTGATGATTATGACTAAGTACTTTTAAGTTCTTCATATTTCCAGGAATTAAAATCAAGTTATTAAGAACGTGTTTGTACATATACAAACGTTGTTTACATAAACGTAAATAAATAAAACTATGTATTACTTTGTATACTGAGGTGCACGATTTCGTGTACGAGACAAGCTTTAAAGTAAATGAATTGGATTTTACATAGGATTATAATCACGATGTTCACGTTTCTATGCAAATACTAGTTACCTCTATACTTACATAACAAATGTTACTATTCCTTCAAGACTAAAAAAAATAATTTAAAGAATCGTAAGATAAAAGACGTTGGAAAAAATTCATCCGATTGTAAACTAACAGCCTTACAAATAAACGCGGTAAAAAGTTAAGCTTAGGAATAAACTAAGTATAAGCAAATATTAGTATTAATTTTGCTTATACTCAGTTTATTTCTAAGTCATTTTATACCGCTTTTATTTCTAAGGCTGTAAGTGTATTTGTCTTAAGAAATTAAGCAAAAAGACAGGCATTTGAACACAAAATCTCAGTAATAATTAATTATAGTTAAATAGTGGCAAAGAAAAAGGGTTTACGTTTATCATAAAAAATATACACAACGATTTTAAGTAATTCGTCTTTTAACTAGTATCAAGTAAAGCTAAGCAATAGGCGACATAATCCATACTAATATAGAGAGAAAAGATTTGTATTTATTCAAATAACTCAAAAACTACTGAGCAGATTGTAAAAATTCTTTTACCGTTAGAAAGGTAATTTATCTGTAAGTAACTTAGGCTATATTTTTTTATATTACTTTTTAACTTCTATTGGACAAAGTCGCGAGCAACAGCTAATCTTAACTGAGATCAGACACTCTTACGGAATCTCTTATGTAATATAGTTCAGTTGATGTTAGTTACATGATGTACCTATTACGACTTTAACATACTAAAGAAACATCAATGTTATATGTTTCCATACATATAAAAACGTATACTAAATCCGGAAAATGCGACAATGTTCGAACGATGTTCGATATTGATTACGGACGGATCATTATGGTCGGGAACAAGAAAATGATAAGCGTCTTACAATATAGCTGTTGCTCACGAATTCGTTCGCGTGAAATCTAAAAATTACAAAAAATAGCCTAAACTACTCACAGATAAATTACCTTTCGAACATCAAATACATACATAAATACAGATCCTTCCTTTTTATAATATTATAGTATATTATACTCTTGCTGACGAATCGTAAAAATAACAGTTTTTTAATAGTTCAAGAAGTTTTGTAATGGGTTCAGTAGTTTTTGAGTCATTTCAATATATACAAAAATACAAATCTTTCCTAATGTTTGTGTAGATAGTATAGCCTAATATAGATTACTCCCATTTAAATAAATAATTTACATACAGTCATATATTTAACAAGAAAAAACATGTTAACAATGGGCTGCAGGCTCAGCGTGGACCACATGGATAATGCTACGCGGAACTGATTTTCACTCTGTCCCTTATTCGATTGAGATATTGATTTTTTCCTTTCTATGCCTACAAATATCTTTGCATTGACTTACAATACTTCCGGCTAAAAATTCTATTGAACATCTGTTTCTAACTACATCATTACCATATAAGACAATCGAGATTTCAATATTTATTATTCTAATCAGATTTACATATCACCAGCTTACTATACGTCCCCACCGAGGGGCTCGGAGCCTACCCTAAGTTAGGGTGACTAGGCCGTAGTCAACCACGTTGGCCAAGTGCGGGTTGGTTGACTTCACACATATCTTTGAATTTCTTCGCCGATATGTGCAGGCATC